TTATTTAGTAGTCTCTAAAATGATTCTGATTTGGGCCAGGGTGGGGCTCACGCCTGTAATCCAGCACTTTGGGAGGCCAAGGCGGGCAGATCACAAGGTCAGGAGATCGAGACCATCCTGGCCTAACACGGTGAATCCCGTCTTACTAAAAATACAAAAAAATTAGCCGGCGTGGGCGGGCGCCTGTAGTCCCAGCTACTCAGGAGGGGCTGAGGCAGGAGAATGGCATGAACCTGGGAGGCGGAGCTTGCAGTGAGCCAGAACGTGCCACTGCACTCCAGCCTGGGCGACAGAGCAAGACTCTGTCTCAAAAACTAAAAAATAAAAAAATAAAAATGACCTGATTTTCTCCCTCCCTCCACTCCATCCTCTTGCAGTGCTTACTAGAATTAGATTCAAAATGTTCATTTTAGTCTGGCATGGGGCTTATTCCTGTAATCCACCACTGTGAGGCCAAGGCAGGGAGTATCACTTAAGATCAGACTGGACAACACAGTGAGACCCCACCTCTATGAAAAATAAAAAATGAGCTGGCCATGATACTACCTGCTACTTGGGAGGCTGAGGTGGGAGAATCACTTGAGCCCAAAAGGTTGAGGCTGCGGTGTGCTATGATTGCGCCACTGCACTCCAGCCTGGGTGACAGAGTGAGATACTGTCTCATTAAAAGAAAAAAAAAAAAGGGCCGAGTACAGTGGCTCACACCTGTAATCCCAGTACTTTGAAAGGTCAAGGCAGGCGGGTCACAAGGTCAGGAGATTCAGACCATCCTGGCCACATGGTGAAACCATGTAAAGGCACTGTGTTGTTCACCGGTTATCCTCGCTTGAACCTGGCAGACGGAGATTGCAGTGAGCCGAAATCACACTGCTGCACTCCAGCCTGGCAACAGAGCAAGACACTGTCTTTAAAAAAAAAAAAAAAAAAAAAAAAGAGTTCATTTAAAACAGTTTCAAGCGCCAACTGCTTACAAAAGACTGTGCCAGCCCCAGAATACAATGTAAACAAGATATGGTGCCTCATGGAACTTAAGAGTCTAGAGAACAGAGGCTGGAAAACAGACACTTGCAATATGACCTATAACATGCCATAACATGAAAAAGTATATGATGCTAGAGAACCTCAAAGGAAAGAGACATAGACAGTCTTGGGGAATCAAAAAGACTTCTGAAAGAAATGCTGGCCTAAAATGAGACCTTCTAAGGGATACTTGGAGGTCACAGTTTTT